CCCAGTGCCTGAGGCAGAGGCGGCAGGCGAGGAAGACGCAGCTCAAGTGTCAGGAGGGGAGACAAAACACACAGACACAACTAATCGTCGATCCCCAGGAAAATATAGGAAAATATGGGAAGTGGGGGGAAAGACGAAAACTCAGAAAATATGGGAAAATATGTGGGATCCTTTTATTTGTGTGTATTTATTTGTGTCCCAGGGCCCCTTCAGAGGAAGACGCAGCTCAAGTGATGGCAGTAGTACGGGAGGAGCGGCAAGCGGACGCACAGCAGCGAGATCGAGAGCATTAGGGTGTTCCGACGTGTAGCCGTAGGAGAGCCTTTGCTGTAAGGGTACGGCGCGCGCAGGATGCGAGCGTCGCCAGAGCGACCGTGGGGGGCTGGGTCCGCTAGGCTTAAGTCGGGCCCGTCCCTCTACAGGAGGAATATTCAGAAATAGTAAAAAAATAGTCAGGGGACAATTTTTTGACCATGTTTGAGCACTCCAGATTTCGTAATAAAAGGGAGGGGGTCTGGACTCTCCAAGACAAGCCATTTCGGACCTCCCCCGTGGGAGAACCCTCCAAAACATCGTCCCCAGACCCCCCAAGGCCCTCCAAGATAGCCTGGAAGAGACCCCCCCGAAATGAGACCCCCCCTCCCTTTATTACGAAATCTGGAGTACGTTAGGGCACTTTTTGACTATTTTTCAATTTTCGTCCAACATCCTCCTGTAGGGGGACAGGCCCGACTTGACGTAGGCCGAGGAGCCACACACTGTCGTGATGCCAGCCCGGGCTGGGGCGGCGGACCAGCCTCGGGGCTGCACCTGGTGAGCTGCTGCGCAGCAGCTGCGGGGCCACAGGCTGTGGAGCTGCGGGAGCTGAACAGCCGAGGTCTGGACCTCAAAACATACTGACACAATCACAACCACACATATGTGTATGTATGTATGGCATCTCTCCCTATCGATGTACATGTGTGTACATATCTGTATATACATAGCTAACGCACTGTGTCGTTACAACAACTTGTATACACACATGCATGCATGCATCCATATCTGTGTACATGTGCATACATGTATGGAGTGTATGTGGTTTCGCATGTTTTTGCCTGGCGCAACTTCCGTGGGGGGCGTGGAGGAGGAGAAGGAGCAGGAGGAGGTCTGGCGCCCGTCGCCAGACAACCTAACAACATAGGATGCATATGTCTTGCTGCAGGGTCTCTCTACCTCCAAACCTATATGTAATGAGTTTACGTGTTTTCACTTGGCTCCGTCACCAACGCAGACAAACATACACGGGATATTGGTCTTTTCAAAGTTGTTCTTGCCTGGCGCGTTGTCCTTGGGGGGCGCGGTGGAGGAGAAGGAGCAAGAGGAGGAGGATGATGAGGAGGAGGAGAAGGAGGAGGAGGAGGAGGAGGAGGAGGAGGAGAAGAGAGAAAGAAGGAGAGAGAGAGAGAGAGAGAGAGAGAGAGCGAAGCATAACCATTATACGAAAAAGAATGCAAATGGGTGGTGGGTGGTTCAGCCACTCAAAAAAACAGGGAGGGGGAGGTTCCGGCATCCGCCCTCCCCCCCGCTGGAACATTAGGGGGGGGTTTGGACCACCACCCTTTCGGGACAATTCCCCCCCCTGGGAAATCATTAGGGGGTCCAAATCCCCTCCTCCTTCCAGCGACGACGACGACGACGCACGACGCACGACGTACGACGACGACGACGCGGACGCCGGCCGGCGCCGACGCCGACGCCGACGCTGACGCCGACGACGACGACGGCGACGGCGACGGCGACAACGACGACGGTGGCGACGACGATGACGACGACGCCGACGACGCTGACGACGACGACGACGACGGTGGCGACGAAGACGACGATGCCAACGACGACGACGACAGTGACGACGGCGACGACGCGCGACGCACGACTCACGACGCGCGTCGACGGCGACAACATTGGCGCCGACGCCGACGCGGACGCGGACGCCGACGACGACGACGACGCTGAGCAACCGCTACGACGACGCCAACGACGACGAAGATTCCGGCGACGACGGCGACAACGACGACGACAGCGACGACGCTGCCGCCGACGACGACATGGACGACGACGATGCCGATGACGACGACGATGCCCACGCCGATGACGACGAGACGACGACGGCGCCGACGATGACGACGACGCCGACGCCGACGCCGACGACGACGACGATGGCGGCCACAGCGACGACGACACTGACGACGAAGACGGCGATGACGACGACGACGACGACGACGACGACTCACGACCCAATGCGCACTACGCACGACGCACGACGCGCGACAACGCTGACGACGCCGACGCCGATGCCGGCGCCCACGACGAGGACAACGACGACGAAGATGGCGACGACGAAGACGACGACAACGACAACGACGACGACCACAACGACGCCGATGACAACGACGACGACACTGACGACGACAAGCGTGCCTGTCACGACGACGACGACGCCGACGACGACGACAGTGCCGACGACGACGGCGACTACGCCGACAACACGACGACGAAGACGATGACGACGCCGACGACGACGTCGGCGACGCCGCCGACGACTACGATGAAGACAACGACGACGACGACCCCGACGACGACGACGACGACGACGACGGCGATGTCCGACGAGGAAGACGACGCACGACGCATGACGACGGCGACGATTTCGGCGCCGACGACGACGACGCCGACTACGACGACGATGCCGACGACGAAGATGACGAGACGACGACGATGACGACGATGACGACGACGAAGACCATGCCGACGACGACGACGTTGCGCCGACGACGACGGCGACGGCGACGATGACGCTGACGACGACGGCGACGGTGACACCGACGCCGACGACGACGGCGGCGACCGCGACGCGGACAACGGCGACGGCGACGGCGAAGACGATGCCGACGACGTCGGCGACGGCGACGACGACCATGACGCCGACGCCGACGGCGCACGACGCACGACGACGACGCACGACGCACGACGACGACGAGAACGGTAATGACGCCGGCGCTGGCGCCGGCTCCGACGCCGACGCCGACGACGACGACGACGATGGCGTCGACGTCGCTGACGACGACGCCGACTACGACGGCGACGACGACAACAACATAGACGACGACGGCGGCGACGACGACGACGATGACGACAATGACAACGACGACGCCGACGACGCCGCGGCCGACGACAAAGACGACGATGACGCCAACTTCGACGCACGACGACGACGCCGACGACGCCGACGACGACGACGACGCTCGACGCTCGACGCTCGACGCACTACGCACGACGCACGACGACGACGCTGACGTTGGCGCCGAGGCCAGCGCCGACGCCGATGCCGACGCCGACCGCAACGGCGACGGCGACGTCGAGGACGACAACGACTCTGACGACGACGATGACATCGATGGTGACGACAACTACTACGCCGACGACGACGACGCCGACGACGACGATGACGCTGCCGACGACATCGACGAACGACGACGGCGATGACGATGACGACGATGCCGACGACGTTGAAGACGATGAATACGACGACCACGATGAGGCGCCGTTGCCGACGTCCACGACGACGACGACGACGACGGCTTTCTGATAATGACGACAGAAAACGACGACCACGACGTCGACGACAACGACGACAACGATGACGAAGACGACGCACGACGCACGACGCACGACGCACCTTGCACGGTGCACGACGACGCCGACGACGACGCCGACGCCGACGACGACGACGCCGACGACGACGCTGCCGAAGACGACGACGACGCCGATGCCGACGACGATGCCGAGAACGACGACGACGCCGGCGACGACGACGAAGACGGCGACGTCGACGACGACGACGACCACGATGACGACGACGCCGACGCCGACGCCGACGACGACGCTGCCGATGACGAAGACGACGACGACGCCGACGACGACGATGTCGACGACGACGCACCACGGACGACGCACGACGCACGACGACGACGCATGACGTTGTCGCCGACGCCAACGCCGAAGCCGACGCCGTCGCCGACGACGAAGGCGACGGCGACGACGACGACAATGACGTTGACAACAACGACGGCGACTTTGACTAGAACGACGAGTATGATGCCGCAATGTTGGCACCACGTGACTTAGCGTACATCGCATAGCTTGCACAACATACGTAGTACCATACAGTTTTTCTCCAATGAGCTCGCACCACATACACTGCACCACATAGCTTTCACCACATGGTTTACGCCTCAGAACTTACCTCGCATAGTTTACATACCATAGCTCGCACTACATAGCCTACACTGCATAGCTTTTACCACCTGTAGCTTCCACAACAGAGCATGCACGACGTAATTAGCACCATGGAGCTTGCGCACCTGAAGTGAGATATGTCACCATTCGGGGTCCGCGCTCGCAAACTTGAGTACACGGAAGCGCACGTCCCTGCAGCACAAGACCAGGGCGCGCCACGCAACAGTCCCGCAACGCTGGTCAATTCGAACATGTTGACAGTTCTCATTCAAGGCTCATCTGGAGCTTCCGTCTAGATGTTGACCAGCCCCATGATACGGCCTAAGCGCATGCGAAGCGTGCGTGGCCCTAGTCTCTCTCTCTCTCTCTTTCTTTCTGTATGTATGTATGCATGTGTATATATATGTATTGTATGAGTATGAATACATCTGTATACATCTGTATCTTTATGCATAGGAGGGCGCGTGCTTGTTTAGTTATGTAAGCACATATAGTTGAACTCGGGCGGTTGGAAGTGGTTGTCTGTGCATGTGTGGCTTTAACAGGCAGGTTGCCACGCATTTCTTTGCATAATAGCCTCGGGGAGCGAGCCGAGGCGCACCGCAGTAGAGAGCCTTCCTCTGAGTGTGCCGCCTAGTGGCTGTGTATACAGCAGGAGGGGGGGCACGAATTGAAAAGGCTTGGCGATGATCGCGCAATGCTGAATTTGCTTCGCCCTCCAGGTGGCCACCATGAGCACGCAGAACCCTCAGCCGAACAAGAAACGCATTGGATCGGCGCTTTGCAGCACTGCCAAGCGCGCCAAGGAGACCCCTCTCTTTCTCGTATGTTCTGCTGTGTAGACGCTGGTTCCTTGTTTGGCAGCGCAATTTGTCTCCTTTGAACTTGCACACGTTCACTTGCGTGTTCTCTTCATGACTTGGCCGGGGATATAGATATGTCTATTTCAACGCTTGATCTGGGTTGTCAGAGTTGGCTCAACTGGCAATTATTCATCAGCTATGGTTTCGTTTGTCTGACATCCAACAGCCCATGCAGACACTGTTACCAGGTGAGGTGCTCCGAGGAGAGAGCGAAGGAGCAGCATTGGAACGTATAGGGCGGATACCAGTCAAGCCAGAGAGAACCCCCTAACGAATGCGATCTTCAGGCCCTCCTGTCAGTTTCGAATCCAGATGTCCGCTTCCGAAGCCAGTCCTTTGTCGCCCTCCTTCGGAGCTCTTGTGTATTTTTGAGGCCTTCCCAGATTCTTCCGAGCAAGGGAGACGACCAGACCAATTGAACCATCGTGCTTTCCAAATTTAATCTGGCCTTTCTGATGCATTCTGGGGATCCTCGGGAGTCACCTCGGACCCATCTTTGGGCTTTCTTGGGGCCTCATTGGGTCTTTTTGGAAGCCAGCCGAGCCAACTTCTGCCAACTCGCGCCATTTGGGAGGCCACATTGTGCTAATTGGCGCCATCTTGAATCCAGCTTCGGCACTCTTGGGCGCTCCAGGACGACTTCGCGACCAGGGGGTCCATACCTCCCTGGAGGGGGTCAAGGTACGGGTAAGCTCCTCCCCGAGTGAAGGGGCTTTTTTGCGGGGGCTTGCCTCTAAACCACCTTGCACTCTAAACCACCTGGCATGCCTGATGCCAAGTTTCCTCTTCTGGGGCGAGCCACAACTTTTCCGACAAACTCTGCTCGCTGCACTCTGCAGTGCTCGAGGTGGGTGCCGGCTTCTGTTTGAAGCTGGCCCTCTGAGTATGTAGCTCCCCGTGCCCACGATCCGGGGGCTGTAAGCGTGGCAGTCTGGCGGGGGTCGCAGCTCAGCTGGGGAGGAGGAGGAGGAGGAGGAGGAGGAGGAGGAGGAGGAGGAGGAGGAGGAGGAGGAGGAGGAGGGGAGGGGGAGGGGGGAGGGGGAAGGGGGAGGGGGAGGGGAGGGGGGAGGGGGAGGGGGAGGGGAGGGGAGGGGGGGGAGGGGGAGGAGGAGGAGGAGGAGGAGGGGAGGAGGAGGAGGGGAGGGGAGGGGGGAGGGGAGGAGGGGGAGGGGAGGGGGGAGGAGGGGGGGAGGGGAGGAGGAGGGAGGAGGAGGAGGAGGAGGAGGAGGAGGAGGAGGAGGAGGAGAGGAGGAGGAGAGGAGGAGGGAGGAGGAGGAGGAGGAGGGGAGGATAATCAGTTGTGGAGATGGGGCCCGGCGAGCCACCAGGGGATCGGAGAGCGGCGAGCCCCCTCCGGGGCAGCGGCCCGCGGGGGTCGACAGGGACCGCGCCGCTCGCTCGGCAGTGTGGCCCCCCCCTTCCCCCCTCCCAGAGCAGACCGGCCCCCCTCATCGATAGGGGGCCACATGCGAACCCCACCCCTACCCCCCACGATTTCTGGGGGTGGGGGGTGGGGTTCGGGAGCTCCCGAACGAAGTGAACCCCACCCTCCCACTCAGAAATCGTGGGGGATAAGGGTAGGGTTCGAAATCGTGGGGGATAAGGGTAGGGTTCGCATGTGGCCCCCTAATCGAGGATACCAGAGCCCTTACGCCCAATACCACGAGGAAGACGTACAGTGGAAACCCATGCCAAGACGCACCCTGCTTGCCTCCAGGGTGCCCTGGGTCGCTTGGGTTTCGACGACTCTGCTATGGAAAACGTGACGCTCCCACACCAGAAATCAATGGACGTCCTAGGGTCCCAGGATTGGGTTTCTTGTGGAAGGTTTCTTGTGGTCGATCTCCTACTGTGCCCTCACTGAGGCCCCCGTCCTCGCATCAGGGATCACAAATTCTGGGTGGCTTGGTCGGACACTCCTGCGGAAGAGACCCCCTGTCCCTAATGTTCTTGGCCCTCCTGACTTACGTCGCCTCCCAGAGGGTTACCTCCTATTGTTGCTAATCTCCCTCCGCCGCAGACGCTGAGGCGATGATGCGCCGCGGCTCTGGGCGCTGCCGCCCCGGCGGCGCCGCTGGGGGCGACCGCAAGGAGCGGCCACGCCTCCCGTGCGGCAGTTCCTTGGGGCAGCGAGCCGCCTCCTCCTCCTCCTCCTCCTCCTCCTCCTCCTCCTCCTCCCTCTCCTCCTCCTCCTCCTCCTCCTTCCTCCTCATCCTCCTCCACCTCCTCAATTCATTTCCCTTCTAGATAACGGCTGCAGTTCAGACGCTGCAGTAAGGACCGCTTTGGCCGAAAAAAGAAAACACGCCATCAACATAAACTTGTGGCGCTCCGCGCGGGTTTCGTGGGTCCCCGCTGGGACCCCCCTGGCGGCGCCTCTGGCTCCGCCCCTGGCGCGCTCCGCGCGCCAGGGAGGGGGGCCCAGAGCAGATCCAAGAACTCCTCGCGGAGCGCCACAAGTTTATGTTTATGGCGTTTTTTTTGTTCCCCCCTAGTTGGGTTCGGAAGGGGCTCGCCGTTCCTGAGGCCATTCCGTGGTTGTTCCTCTACAGTCAGCCCGCATACCCGCATAGCAAGGATGGGCAACCTTCCCAAGGTTACCCCTGCCTCCTTGCCTCCTCGGCCTATCATTGGCGACTTTCGTTGGCCATCTTGCCCATCTTGGAGGCCATCTTTCAGCATCTTGGAGCCGTCCGGAGCAGAAAGGCCCTCCCAACCACCCCTCCCGGAGCTCTCTGGGTGGCCGGTGCCGCGCCCCGCTCGCAGAGCTTCGACATGGGCGTCCGAGGCCCTTGCATCCTCATCACGCGTCCTTGCTATACGGGCTGACTGTAGACCTCTTCGTGCACCCAGGCGTCTTTGGTGCCAAAAAGGTTGGGATGCAACTCCTGGGAGGTCAAATTCTGATTTTGCACTGGTTTGAAGTCCGGCTTAATCAGGCTGGATCCCGCTTAATCCCGCTTAATCCCGCTGAATCCGGCTTAGTCCCGCTTAATCCGAGGCCAAGTCCAGCGTAATACAGTCGGGGCCCTGAAGAAGGAACCCTTTTCGTTGGGGAGGGGCTCCGCGTTCCTTAAGTGTTTCGCAGCTTGCCTTGGATTTCCCTTAGGTTTTCGATACGAAATCGAGGTTCAATTTATGGAACATAGGGGCCTCGTTCCTTATTTAGGGTTCCTTAGGTCAACGCCTCGACTGAAGCTCCCAAATGGGGCTTGATCCTCCTTAAATCTTTCCGACGAAAACCTCCCAAAGGGGCTCCGTTCTTTACTGAGCGTGCGCGGATGATCCTGGGCCCTCGGAGCCTGGGGGCGCCTTGGAAGAGCCAGGAAAGGCAGCTTGCGTGAGCGGGCCCTTTTTCTGACCGTGCTGTCCTTGCCGGCCGGCCCTGCTCGAAGTACCGTGCGCACAGGTGGTTCCCAGATTCAGAGGTCAGGACGTTTGGCGTTCGGGCCCTGGCATGACCTATGAGGTCGAGATGGGGGGGGTAGCGCTTTCGTGTCGTAACGCAGCCTCATCCTCGCTTCCACCTCACTCTGGCCATACCCCTTTTCTCGCCTGGGGGCCTGACTGTGGATCTCGATTCTCGAGGCGGTTGGTCAGGTTTCTGTCAACCGGGTGTTTCGCATTTTGAAATCATGTGTGCCGCATCACCAATCGTTTTCAGACTCCCCGTTTCTCTCATTCTTCACCTGGGAAGCGCACGCGCGTTGAATATACATGTCAATTGGACGTGTGCTGGGAGCTCGCTGTAAACTGTCAGCCTGATTAACGCCGGGACGTCGTAGAGCTCCTCTGGAGTGATGCTCCATAGCAGAAGGTGTTGAGAGTGCAGCCAAGGAGCTTTTCATCGCCTATCCCAGAAATAATGAAAACACATACCATGTTTGAAATGAAATCAGTTGCTCCAAGTGGTCCCATACACATATATATATATATATACACAGAACTATGTTACAGCTACAGCCATGAAGCTAAGACAGACAACCAACACACACACACAACTTCAGAGCTTCCCACAGGTGCGAAGCAACTGGACTCTCATCATTAATTGTCGAATCTTGCGCAGTCTTGCAGACAATGCGTCTATGCTAGCACAGGTCACCGCACTGTCAGGTTTGGTCGGGCAGCCAACGAGCTCCACCCTGCGCCCGAATTCCTTCAGCATGGGCCTCCTCATGAGCTCTCTGCGAGGTATATATGGGGTACCTGGGGCCCGCCCCAGGGCAAGGACGCCCTCCAAGATTTACCCACCCCCTTTCGTATTGCGCCACCTGAATTGGAACCCCCCTCGGGCCTGCCCTGGGCGTTCCCCGGCCCTTCCGCGTAGCCCCTGGGGTCGTCGGAGAGCGCGAAGGGAGCTCGAAGAGAACCCCAACATAGCGACACGAGGCCATGAAAAGAGCTCAAGGACAGCTCGAACGCCTCCAACATGGCTCAAGGCTGCCTACAACGCTCGCTGACAGCGTCCAAGATGTGCTCAGCGGACCCGAAGAGGATCCCTAATTGGCTCTTGGGGCGAAACTTTCATTTTCTCTCTAGGTTTGTCTGTTTTTTCATCGGCTGGCCTGTTCGGTCGCTATAGCGCCCTGAGGGCCCCGCAGTATCGCGTCGATGCGGTCCGAAAGAGCCCCGAGAAGGGCCCTTCCGCAGCCCGCGCTATCCTCAATCAGGCATTTCTGGCTCTCAAGCGTTTTTTGAGGCCGCACCGCGAGGCATCGTACTCCACGGCTCCACCAGCCTCAGGCCCACGGGTCTTGTCGCGCAGACCGCCGCAGTCGCCGCGCTGCTCCGCCTGTTGCCCGCCGAGGCGGCGGTGCGGTGCCTTGGCGAGCGCGGCGCATCGTGCACAGAAACTCGTG